CACATTATGTGAGAAAAAAAGACCCACATTATCTCCTAAGTTTGCTTGAGGCCAGGAGTTGGAGAAACCTTCTGAGAGGAAATAAATTTTGAGTTTAATTTTGATGTGTTAGTAGGCCATTAACAGTCTGTAATATCTAAGGGGACAGAGGCATTAGAAATGTAGCAATTGGGATGTGTGAAGAAGAAGTAGAACAAGCAGTTGGAAAGCTAGACAAAGATTACATAAGCTTTATGAAAAGTTAGGAATCTCAAATACTTGTACTGCAAGGCAACTGTGTTGTCTTTAGCTAATTCAGGGTGGATACTTTTATATCCAATAGTCCCAGTGATAGCAGTGGGGAAAAATATGACACCAGAAGTCATTGCCATGCACTGTAGCTGAAATTGTGTCTGGGAACATTGTGAGGGAGAAAGGTGAGCATGATGTTGTTGATGAATTATGGAAAACTTTTAAGGTAATGAACAACATCCCTTGAGCTACTGATGTCTCAGAGATTTTTTTTTTTTTTTCAGCTACAAAGAGATATGTCCACATTATGGGGGAAGGTGAAGCGATTATTTTGTAATTACCAAGTAAAATTTCACAATTTTCTGTCAAGTACAAGTTATCTATTGGGACTATTTAACAAATAAATATGATGGGGATGTTAATATTGTTAACAGCTAATATTTTGAAGCTAATATATTTCTGGCATTACATTAAGCATTTTAGCTGGTCAATTATTTCACAATTGCCTGTATTAGTCCACTCTCATGTTGCCATAAATAACTCGAGACTGGGTAATTTAGAAAGAAAAGAAGTTTGACTCACACTTCTGCAAGGCTGGAGAGGCCTCAGAAAACTTACAGTCATGGCACAATGGGAAGCAAACATGTCCTTCTTCACATGGCAGCAAGAAAGAGAAAATGTCAGATGGTTACAAAACCATCAGATCTCGTGGCAACTCACTCTCTATCACGAGAATAGCATGGGGAAAACTACTCCCATCATTCAATTACCTCCCACTGGGTCCCTCCCATGACGTGGAGATTATGAAAGTTACAATTAAAGATGAGATTTGGGTGGTGACACAGCCAAAACATATCATTCTGCCCCTAGTCCCTCCAAAATCTCATGTGCTCACATTTCATAACACAATCATGCCTTCCCAACAGTTCCCCAAAATCTTAACTCATTCCAACATTAACCCAAAAGTCCAAGTCCAACATCTCATTTGAGATAAGGCAAGTCTCTTCCATCTATGAGCATGTAGAATCAAAAGCATATTTGTTACCTTATAGATTAAATGGAGGTACAGGCATTGGGTAAATACTCCCATTCCAAAAGGGAGAAATTGGCCAAAAAGGCAGTCATTAAACCTTAAAATTCCAAAATGATATCCTTTGACTGCATGTTTCACATCCAGGGGAGTCTAATGTAAGAGGTGGGCTCCCAGAGCCTTGGGTAGCTCTGCTCTTGGGGCTTTGCAGGGTACAGCCCCACTTCAGAGTGTTTTCATGGGTTGACATTGAGTGTCTGCAGTTTTTCCAGGTACACGGTAAAAACTGTTGGTGGATCTACCATTCTGGGGTCTGGAGGATGGTGGCCATCTTCTTACAGCTCCAATAGGTAGTGCTCCAGTGGGAACTCTGTGTGGAGTTCTGACCCCACGTTTTCCTTCCACATTGTCCTAGCAGTGTTTCCCCATGAAGGCTCTGCCTTTGCAGCAAAATTCTGCCTGGACATCCAGGTGTTTCCATACATCCTCTGAAATCCAGGTAGAGATTCCCAAACCTCGATTCTTGACTTCCGTGCACACACAGGCCCAATAGCACAGGTAAGCCACCAAGGCTTGGGGCTTGCACCCTCTGAAGCAACAGCCTGAGCTGTACATTGGTCCCTTTCATCCACAGTTAGAGCTGAAGCAGCTGGGATAGAGGGCACCACGTCCTGAAGCTGCACACAGAATGGGGAGCCTGGGCCTAGCCCATGAAACCATTCCCTCTTAGGTCTCCAGGCTTGTGATAGGAAGGGTCACCATAACATGCCTTGGAGACATTTTCCCCATTGTCTTGGTGCTTAACATCTGGCTCCTCATTACTTATGCAAATTTCTGCAGCTGGCTTGAATTTCTCTCCAGAAAATGTTTTTTTTTGTTTTTTTTTTTGTTTTGTTGTTTTGTTTTATTGTTTTTTTAATCACATTTACAGTCTGCAAATTTTCCAAATTTGTATGCTTTGCTTCCTCTTCAATGCTTTGCTGCTTAGAAATTTTTTCCTCCAGGTACCATAAATTATCTTTCTCAAGTTCAAAATTCTACAGATCTCTAGGGCAGGGGCAAAATGCCACCAGTCTCTTTGCACAGCAAGACGTTTACTCCAGTATCTAACAAGTTCCTTATTTCCATCTGAGACCACCTCAGCCTGGACTTCATTGTTCATATCACTATCTGCATTTTGGTCAAAGCCATTCAACAAGTCTCTAGAAAGTTCCAAACTTCTCCACGTGTTCATATCTTCTTATGAGCCCTCCAAACTGTTCCGATCTCTGGCTGTTACCCAGTTCTAAAGTTACTTCCACATTTTCAGTGTCTTTACAGCAACACCCCACTCTCGGTGGTACCAATTTACTGTATTAGTCCATTTTCACACTGCTATAAGACATACCTGAGACTGGGTTATTTATTAAGGAAAGAGGTTTAATTGACTTACAGCTCTGCAGGCTGGGGAGGCCTCAGGAAACTTAAAATCGTGGTGAAGGGGAAGCAAACACATCTTTCTTCATAAGGTGGCAGTAGAGAGAAGAACGAGAGCTGAGCAGAGTGGGAGCCCCTTATAAAATCATCAGATCTTGTGAGAACTTACTATCATGAGAATAGCATAGGGGAATTGCCCTATGATTCAATTTCCTCACACCAGTTCCCTCCCATGACACACAGGGGTTATGGGAATTACAATTCAAGATG